TATCAGAGGGTTCGTACCTGATCTGTTGGGAGTCAATAACATAGTGAGACTCATCCAATTTCCACTCGCTTGCATTGGCAGCAGCAATGGGTGATGGAAATCTTGTTCTGTTGAGGAGGGGAACTAAAGGAGGAAGATGGTCATCAATCAACGGTCTACATCCATTTGGGCAAATAAATCCATCCAAGTGCCAATTTACTATGATATTTTGCTCACTGCAGAGTTTGGCTGCCTTTAAATATATTCGTTCTGGCAACGAGACTCCATAGCTTGCCTCCAGTGAAGCTTTGAGCCTTACTTTGCAGCAAACCGACCTAGCTAGTGACATGATATCTGAGTTATTAGGGCGTGGCTTTGTTTTCTTCATCTCAGCAAACAATATCTTTGCAATAGTCAAGCATTGGTCATGACCCAAGTTGTCAAGGCTAGAGGAGGCCTCTGGGGGTATACTTAGACGCACCACAGTGCCAGCTGGATTTGCTGACTGGATGCGCTTTTTAATAGTCTGCGCACTTCTGCTCCTGATTCTATACGAAGCTGCAGAAGCCAGACTTTTCTTGAATTTTGGGCGGGTAAGCCGTCCGGATTTCAGCTTATAGGCATAAAAACGGATGCCTCTCTTTGAGAGACGTGATCCGACAAGACTGGGACCCATATGAGCGGCTTGATGATGTCGACCAAGATCAGGCAGCAAATCAAACTTGAGGCCACAAAATTTACATGTGAATTTTTGACCTTCAGAGTTGATATTCTCTACAGACACTACTGACTTTCCACCCTCCTTCTCAACAGCATCCAGCGAAAGATCTTCACTCCCAGATGGTTGAGAAGCTTGATAAGGATGAGGACGAAGGTTTGAGAACCGGAAGTTGGAAGGATGTACAGAAAGCACGTGAGACCATAGTTGTTCTTGGTTGCCGAAATGGCTACTGCAGGGAATGCATTGGAAAAGCATGCACTGTTCAACAAACTCCACGTGGTGCCTCTCCTGCACGTGAGATTCCAGAACCTTTTTGTCAGTGAAAGAATCAAGGCATATTGCACAAGCATAACCCCTGAAGAGCCCTTGAGCTTCCTGGTTATGGTTATCCATCCAGTGTGTACCGAGTTCTTGGTCACTCAAAAATCTTTCTGAGCAAATTTTGCACCTAATAACACTCCCATCCTCCTCCTGAATATTAGCAGTTCCTGATTCGTTAAAGCTGAAGCCCCAGTTCTTCTTGATCCTCTCTTTCTCGCCAAAAACCAGTCTCAACAAGAATTCCCTAACACTCACGTCTTTAGAAGCCTCGGTTATGGCCCACTGAAACTGGGCTTCTTTTGGGACCACATTTCGCCTGGAAAGAAGGGTTTTTAATAGCCCGTAGAACAGCTCACAAGCTTGATGCAAATGAAGCTTTTTCTCCCTTGACTGACCACAACTCCTAAGAAGCTCAACAAACACTTCCTTTGAGATTATCCTACTCTTACCATCCCTTGCACGCTTAAGCCAGCTTGGCAGGTGCTTATCGCAGTATAACGTATGCCGCTTTGCAGTTTCCAAACAAGGTTCCCCGCCATCTTGGGCCCACAAACCCACACACATCAGCACTTCATCAGTATTGTTGCTATACTCTTTTGGATGAGGATGATGATGATACTCGGACATTGGAACTAAGCTGTTTCCACCTATGACCGAGATGGGATCCACATCAAGAATCTCTTCGTGTTTTCTCTTCTTGGTAAGTTTAATCTCGGTCGAGCTAAAGGACAAATTTTTAATATCACCACTCTTGGGCCCATGCTTCTTGCAGAAAGATGAGCCAATGAGGGAACGGTGTTTGCATTTAGTCCCAAGAACGGTGGTGCCTTCACACATTCCCACCTCAAAGGGTGTTCCTTCAGTTTTTGAAGGGGTTGTTGCAAAACGGGAAACCAAATGAACACAACAATAGACGTCACCATCATTTGCCCATCTCACACACTGCCTCCCCTTAGCTTCGATGAAGGCTATACATTGGCGGTTCTTATTTAAACCCTTATCAGGTGCAGGTGTCAACACAGAATTATCTGCTTCAACAATGATATCACCCCATCTATTATTATTATTATTATTATTATTATTATTATTATTATTATTATTATTATTATTATTATTATTATTACTATTATTATTATTATCATTATTATTATTACTATTATTATTATTATTATTTTCACCCTTTGTATGCTCAGAATCTAATGAAGTGTTATCCAAAGCATCACAGCCGTCAAAGAAACCAGAGCCGATTTGAGTTACACCCGATTCATGGCCAGCCTGCTGCAAAGGATGTGCATCAGCGCGTCTGACTTCGAGTTTGGGCCTCTTCTTGCACTGCTGATTTCCAACCTCCTCCAATACGCTGCTGCTATCAAAACTCAGTTTTTGCAAGTTTCCAACGGTTGTTGACACAGGGTTCGAAACTGAAAACCATTTCATAGCCTCTTGCTTGTAGTTCATCCATTCCATGTTAAGTTCAAGATGGGCAGGATCACTGGGGAGAGTACTTATGTCATTCCAAAGAATAGAATCAACCATTTCCTACAAGACAATCGATCATGTCAAATGCAGTATATATATTTCCATTTCAGAATTTCCCAAGGGTAAACAGAAAAAACTTACCTCCTTCAGCATTTCAGCGGCTTCTGCACTGTTCGCATTCTGACACTGTTGAACCCAAGACTGCAGTGACTTTTCCAGCCAAAGTGAACTTTTGTAACATGGAAGTATGATCTGCACATGGAAAATGAATTGTTATCATCATTCAGGGTTGCAGAAAATGATAGGGGTAGGGATGAGGTTAGTAAATTGGTAAGGTAAGGAGTGTGAACGTATCACTATCTCCCTATTTGAATGGCTCATTATAATGTACCAAAATGCAAGTTATAAGGAAGCAGATATTTCACATTAGAAAACCTAGTAAAGCAACCAAATGCACCAAATTAAATTCTATTGTCAAGGGTTTTCATTATTATTGTAAGAGCATTGGAGAAAATGGAAAGAAAGGAAAAAAAGTATATTTTTCCTCATTTGCATAAGAAAATTTTACATCTTGAAATTTCAAAAGCATCCTTCCAATATCAGGATAGTCTTTACACCGGGAAGCCTCTGTTGCAAATTCCTTCCATACCACTATATTGCGAGCAGTTTCCACAAGAACCTATATGAGTAGAGAAAGAGTAATTAAAAAGGAAAGGGGCAGAATAAGCATATTGAGCAAATGATTATACATATCAATGAGAATGAAGAAAAGCTTCTAAAGCAAACCTGTCTATGTAACTGATCAAAGATATTAAGTATGCCAACAGCAAGCTTTTGCACGATGAAACGGTGAGGAAGAGTCAGATCTTTGACCATTTTAACTCCAACATTATGTGTCTTATATGCGATGGGCTCTGGAAATTGATCTATTGGGCAAACCAGAAACACATCCGCCCATGAAAAGTTGCGGGTCCGGGGAAAGAAAATCACAAGATACTTTTTCCTGTCGTGTGTTGGTTTTGCTCTCATAGTTGACAATGGCCAATCAGCTCTCTCACATTTGATTCCTGCTTGCCACCTACCCCTCCACTATACAACAAAACATATGCAGAATGATTAATACAAATAACAACTCTTAAGTCGATTTCATAAAATTCTTAAATGACTAATGCAGATCACATAAACTAAAGGGTATACAGAAGTTGCAAGGAAATATAAAAATATGTATATAATGAACGAAAGTAATTTTATACCTTTACCCATACTGCAGAAGTTTCATCTCTTTCTAGCAATGGTGTTTCACATGGAACGGCTTCTCCCCCATGGTTATTATTTAGTTTCTCGCTTTCAATTGCATTTACAAACGGCTGTGAGCTCTCTGTGTTTTCATCATCCGATTCATGGGAATAAGAGGACAATTTTCGACCATCCTCTTCATATTCACGATATGTATCCGTAGAAAAATGTGCTATAGAAGTTGACATATCCTCAACGGCCCATTGACCTCCATCTTGGCTTTCAGTGCCATCACCTTGTAGATCTTCAGCTTGAACTTGTGCTGGAAGTTTCAGATGGTTTGGTTCTTCAACATGCAGAAGACTTGTTTCTGCCTCCTCTTGAGGGAAATATGGGGAAAGCACTTCCATAATTCCAGACTAAAAACAAACTCCCATAATAATAATAAAATAAATCTTTCAGTGTTGATGGAATGCATAAATTCAATTTAAAAAAACACTTAAATCTTTCAGCAAATGAAATCATTCAGTTATTAGCTCGCCGACTTTAACTGGATTGTGTTCCCTGAAAAAACTATACTCTTGATTTACTATTTTCAAATTATTTACTTAGTCAGTTATGAGCTGCTCGTGGTACTAAATCATTAAGCCGAGAAATAGCTATGATTTATAATGTCATCATAAAACATTCATTGAGTTCTATCTCCCAATGCTCAGCATTCAAGTAAATTCAATATATAAGGAATATCAAAATATGATTATGTACCCAACTATTTGGCTCGTCGTATGTTTAAAGCCAAAGGGTCCTGGCAAAAATATTAAAAATAAAAAAAGTACTCCGTATTAAATTCAAGTAGGTTCTTAAGTGCTCAAGTTTAGTTTCCAAATCTATATAATGTCTTTCGAACCGCTGTAATTTCCACACTCAGACTTCAACGGTCAATTTGAGCATATTTAGCATTACATTTTTACAAATCGGCCACATAATCTAAAAATTCTTAAATACCCTCACTTTCGCCAAAGTCCGTCCTTGATAAAGAAATCATTTGGAACATTTTGGACTACACATACTCCCTCCGTCCGTTAAAGAAGTTTCTACCTAGACTTGCACATTTTTTAAGAATCAAATGTTGAGTTTGGCTTACAAGAATGGTAGGTATCGATATTAAAAGAAGGTAGTGATTAAGGCTTTCACTTATACCAAACAAGGAAGAGATTTTATTTAGAGACGAACCAAACGGGAAAAAATACTACGGAGTAGTAACTTATTTTGGGGACGAGTACTTAATTTCGAAAATTCAAACAATAAATTCGATAAAATTGATGGTAAAAAAAACTAGAAATGCAAATTTTACCTAAGTCATGAAGCCAAAAGTGAAATCACAATAACTATAGATGTTCTAAACTGCCCATTATTAAATTCAGAGTAAATTGTATCAGCTGTATTTTATTCACAATATTTAGCCAATGTGTAAACTAAAAATTTGGTTATTCTGCATTGGGCAAATTAGCACTTGGTGGTATCAACAACATAAACCCTAAATGGGTGAATCAAGAAAATCAAGATTGGCATTTTATTTCCCCCGTATCACAAAATCAACCCACAAACCCCAAAATCCAGATGTGGTTCCAAATCAAGAACGCGAAAAAAATGAATTTTTGGCTTCCCAAGAATCAATTCTCTCTTGAATCGTGCATGTACTGCGAATCCATACATAGTCATCAATTGATTAATTAAAAGAAACATATACGGAGTAATTATCATCAGCCTTCTTGTTCCACTTTTGTCCTTTTGTGGCAATGAAGAGCAATAGGGTCCAAGACCATGGCGGCCAACAAAATGTTACACATATACATACATACATCTATCTATCAATACTGTTCACAAAAATACATATATATTGTGTGTGCATACATAATTTTGCTACAAATTAAAGACATGGAGAAAGAGGGCAATGTACCTTTGCAATCGGAGGAGATGATTTTTTATCTTCCCAGTGGGTGTAGATTTTGTGTCAAAAAAAAAAACAATTTTTTGTTTGACCAAAAGAATTGTTGCAGGTGATAATAAATGGGGTGCGAGTTACCAATATCAGGTTTTTAGGCAAGGAAGAAAGGTGTCAGGGGACGTCTATAACCCTTACCTAGAAATAAAGAAAAGATTGGGTAAACAAAAGTGTAAATCAGAGTGGTGGAAGTGAGAGATAATAAGGAAAATTAATATTAAAAAAAATATTCCTCGATACTCCTTCCATTTGTCCCAAAAATAAGTTACACAACTAATTAAAAGAAAAATTATATCGACCACGAATTTTTTTTAATAAAAAAGTTTAAAGTTTCCTTTGGAAACAAAGAAAAAGTTGAAATATTTTTCTGAAAGTGAAAAAATAATAAATATTAAAAACTTAAAAGATTTTTTAAGGTAGATATATGGTAGAGAATAATACGGCATTGGCAGGGGACTATGGGTACAAAGAAAGTAGTGTGGTCTGGTGAAGCTATGAAAATTTATACATGCTTATTTTCTTTGAACTTTTTGAATATTATCTGAATTTTTAAATATTGATTTGATCTAAAGAAATCTAATCTAATCTGAATAGATTTGATCTAATCTAATTGTAAGATAATTTAATTGTTGTATTTAATCTAAATTATTTGGATATGATATGAGCCGTTTTTAAAAACTAAGTAATGTACAAAACAATAAATCAACCAATGACCATTGGGGTGATTTTACCAGATTAGACGGAAAGAAAAAATAGACACTAGTCTCTAAGACTTCTAATTGAACCTCCAAATAGGCTATGAAGCTTACTTGAACGACTATATGCTAGAGCTTGAATTTGTGAAGTGAAGATAAAAGATAAGAAAAAAAGATTTCTACAGGGGTAAAATCATCAATCTTCGTACCCATTAACAAGTAATACGGAGTAATATGTTACTGAAAGCCAATGACAAAAAAATGTAAAAGTTTAAATTCGAAATTCAAAAATTACTTTGTTATAGATATACTCCACCAGACCAAAAGTCGAAAACTTATTGACGATTTTAACTCAATATCAAGTAGGTTAATCAGTTTTGGGATGCTAACCTTTGTGAAGGTGAAGTCAACTACGGAGCAAACTTTGGGAAAAGTCACCCAAGCTAGGTAAGTTGCAAAAAGAAGTTGATCCAAAAATAATTCTTACTCTAGCATATTAATGAAATGGAGAAGAGGGGTAGAAGGAGGTTAGGAGGGGCTTGAAGAAGTTGTTATATACTTAAGTTCTCATATGGTATGATCTGAATTTGATCTGATTGTAGTTATATTAAAAGCAATTTTCATCTAATCTAATTCCAATTAGAATAAGAATAATGATTTGTTCTCTTCACTTGGTCTAATTGATTCTCATATGCTTGAAAAAAGTTCTAATCTGATCTGATTGTAATTGTTTTTAAATCTATTTCTGATCCAATTCCAATAAGTATAAATTAAAGAAAACAAGTTTGTAAATATCATGACTATGCAAATAGATCAATATTATATTATGACATTTGGTTCTATTTCTAATCAAAAGAATCACGCCCAATAGTTTTTCAACTTTTATGTAGGGGTGAGATGTGATGTGTGCATAACACCCTTCCAAATCTTATTTAAGTGAGATTGCACTAAATCGTCTTAAAGAGTTTTATGATCCATTTTGGAATGTCTATTTTTTTTCTTTTATGAGGAATATGTGATCTTTACATTACTCTCAATTACATAATTTTATTCTTTTAGAAGGATGAACTCTGAACCTGAAGGTCCTCAGAATCGGCCATATAATTAGATAAGAGTAACAAAATTGAGCTATAATTTTAATCAATTGGCGTAGAAGTGTTGTTCAATGTCTAATATTCATAGAAGCCACGTGTTGCGTATTGTTGCCCTCAATGCAACTACCTAGGTTCAAACTCGACATTTTTCTTTTTTTTTCGCCTACAAACTTTTTATTGTTTGTTCTTAAAGGAGTTTATGCAAGCCGCTATATAGATACAAATAAATATTATACCTAACAAAAAATGACCCAATCTATTTTTGATCTGAGACTCAATCCTAAAATACTGAGTTTTGAATAAAGGTTTTGCTGACTGAATCCAAAATTGACAGAATTTGAAATTACCCATTAAAAATGGGTCAAACCCGATTGAACTCAAATCTGAATTGACGAACCCGCTAATATAAAAAATTTTCAGAATCATATGCTTTAATATGTAATATAGTGTTATAAAAATAAAATTTTAATTATATTTCTTTGCTTACTATTCATTTTTTAATGTATAAAATTATATTTTCATACAAATCTTTAATGATATCGCACAATTATCTTATTTTTTTCAAAATTTTTTGCATATTTAGTTTTTTTATTAATAATATTGACAACCAGCCATAAAATACTTAAAATTTCAAAAAATAAATGAAAGTCATAACCCGTTGGATTGATTTGAACCCGATGACATTGGATCATTAACATGTAGCTCTCAACCCGAACCTGAACTTGCTGAAATCCGAAGTAACATGAATCCAAAGTGATCGAACTCGACTCCAACGATCATTTTGGTAGCTCTAAAAAGTATAGAGAGACTTGATCAAAATAGAGTGCCTTATAAATTGGGCCTAAACAAAATTTCCCATCAAGCCCATAGTGTCCTGGGCCGATCTTGGCAAACCCTCTGACCCTCCCAATGTCCAAGTCTAATCTGGAAGAACTAAAAATATTGTTGATTTAAAAAAAAAACACCGTTCATTGTTTTTCACAAGCCAGCCTACTCATTCAATCAATCCAGTGGAAAGTTTTCGTTCCTTCCGGAAAAAAAAAAATCATTTTTACAAAATTTATATGGTATTATTATTTTTCTAGACCACATTCAGGCTATGTTTGGAAAAATATTTTTAGTATAATTTTTGACAGCTTCGATTGACTTTAGTTTTATTGATTAATCAAACAATCAAAATCATTGTTTAACTAATGACTTTTTTGTCGCTCTTCAAAAAAAAAGTAGAGTTATTTGTTTAATTTTACAGTACATGAAGATAAGAAAACATGCCAAGTGCTATCGCGGTTCGAGGAAAAAGTGGTCTAATTTAACGCAAAAAGGAGATAGAAAAAAAAAGAAAGAAAGATTCAAGAATAAAGAAAAGGAAAAATACCCAAAATAATCCCAACTTTATCCGGTCTTTCAAAAATAATCCACCTTTCACTGTGATGCATAATAATCCTAACTTTAATGAAATTTGCCAGTTTTGGGTCGCCGTTAAGTTTCTAACGGAGGGTTAACGGAAATGCCCGTTTTACACAACAAAATGAAAGTTGGGATTATTTTTGATTAATTTTCATTTATTTTTTTTAAATTTTTCATTTAAATTTTTTAAATTACTTTCTACCTCCATCATCATTTCTTTTTGCTTTTTTAAAGATTAGTCTTAGTTTAAAAAATAAAAATAATAGATATAAAAAATGAAAATATGAGAAATGTAACTAAAATGATACAAAAATAATAAAATAAATAAGGTAATCAATGAAAACTAACTTGAAATTGGTAAAAGTAAAATAAAAATATACGGGTGAGTTTTAATATTTTACGCATTATACAAAGTATTAACATATCACTTCTTATTTTTTAGAAAAAATTATCAACAATAATTCCAACTTTACCGTACGGCTTGTTCTTTTAAAAAATAAGTAGTACATTAAGACTCCGTATAGTGTGTAAAATGTTAAAACCCACCACTCCGTATATATTTATTTTATTTCTTACCAGTTTCTGTTTAATTTCTATTGATTACATTATTTATTTGATTAATTTTGTCTGGTTTTAGTTATTTTTCTCATTTTCATTATTTTTTATTTCTATTTTTTTTCTAATGTAAAAATAATCTTTAAAAAAGAAAGAGAAATGGAGGTTGAAAGTAATTCAAAAAATTTAAATAAAAATTTCAAAAAAAATTAAAAAACAAAAAATCATCAAAAATGATCCCAACTTTCATTTTGTTGCCTAAAACGGGCATTTCCGTTAACCCTCCGTTAGGAATTTAACGGCGACCCAAAACTGGCAAATTTCAGTAAAGTTGAGATTATTATGCATCACAGTGAAAGGATGGATTATTTTTGAAAGACCGGGTAAAGTTGGGATTATTTTAGATAATTTTTCCTAAAGAAAATTCCAAGAACAAATGAATTCCAGTTTCAGATTCTGATTCGTGGACTATGTCCAAACAAGACTGCTGCTGTTGAATCCAGTCTGCTCCTCATCACATTTCATTACAAGATTTTCTTTACGAGTAATATACTCCCTCCGTCCCTAAATATTTGCCACATTTGTATTCCCGAGGCAAAATATTAAGTTTTTTTAATTCATTTTATTTACATATTGGCATAGAAATAAAAAATAAAATTTACATATAAAAAAACTACATGAAAAGTTTTTCGAAATAAGAGGTGTCAAGAATATTTTATTTTATCAAATAACCAATGAAAACGTAAAAATAAACAAAAGTTCCCGCGACTGCTGAAAAAGCAAACGTTGCAAATAATTTGGGACGGAGGGAGTATAAACATTTATTCCGGTAGAATTAGCACGGACCAGCCCATTTGCTCAACTAGAGTACCTTTACTCTTTGTAAAATTTGCACAAAATATGACTAAAACATAATGACTTTCCCAATGTAAGACTTAAACTTTTTTATTCCCTAAATAGGACTTAATAATGACCTCGTGAGAGGAATAATGTCCAGTAATGATGGACATTTACTTGAATAATGACTATTTGATAATAACCAAAAGTCCTATATTATGAAATAAAAGCATATGGTCCTATATTGAGAAAGTCATTATGTTTTAGTCCTATTTAGATAAATTTCTCCTACTCTTTATATACTCCTCCCGTCTTAAAAACATGAAAGTTATTGATTTTTAAGAGATTTAAAGGAAGTGTATTTTGATATTTAATTTTTCAAAAAAAATCTTTTGATGTGATATGTAAAAGTAAGATTTGATGGATTGATTATTAGTAAAAAGGTATGATGTGATAGGTAGAGTATGAAAAGTAAGGGGTAAAAGTGATTTTTTAATAGAAATAAGAAGTATT